AAACCGTGATACTGTTTTTCAGGATTCTTTATGAAAATAAATCCAAAAGAACAGCATTTATTTGAAAGAGAAATCTTTTGTCTTTGCTGAAAAAAGTTTTTCTTTCAAACAAAAAAAAATACTGATACACACACACACACACACACACACACACACACAGTATGTGTACTATTTGAAAAGTACTATTTGTAAGAAACACAAAGTTGTTGCCAATGTGAACAATTCAAAATCAATCATTTCTAAGGCTTGATTTCAGTGAGGATGCTGCCTTGGAATACAGCTGCCTATGTAGACAGACACAGCATGGAAGCTCTCTATGTTCTGGAAGAGAAACAGAGTGATTAAGAAAGTCAGAAAGGGTTAGAAAGCACCAGGGTGCAGTGAGCTCTCCGTCCACTCCCACCCAAAGCCACAAAGGGACGCCGGCACAAAATGTGCATTGTATCCCATCCAGCACACATCTCATGAAAGCCCACTCATTCAGAGCCACTTATAAAAACACAGCAGCTGAGTCATGTCTGAAGTATCCAACTCATAGAAAAGATATCATCTAAAGTGTGATGGCACGTCTGGAGCGACTCAGATGTGTGGAAACTCAGCCTCGGGACAATGGCAGCATTGTTTCCACAATCACACTTACATGCCACCTTTAATGAACAAAATAATGATTACGAGACATCTTTGGGAAAATTCGAGCTTGCACTTCAAATCATTTCAGATGATTGCTTTTTTCTTGTTTTATGCATAAACCTAATTTGAATGTTTCTTACCAAACTTAATTAAAGACATATTGTCTGCAAAAGTCTGAAAAAACGTTGTCCCTCAAATAAAGATATTTTGTTTATCTGATGTTTACATACTTTTTACTGGAAAACAAAGCAAGAATACTGATTAAAAGATTTTTAAATGTGTTCAGTGTTCCTGTGCTGACATACAGTGTTTCCTGTTGAAACAGGAAGTTGAGGCAGAATCAAGTGTTGTTATTGTTAGCTAAAAGTATAAAAATAATATATATATATATATATTTTGTTAACTGAAATAAAGCTAAGATAAAACAAGGTACAAAGAATAGATGAAAAATTAAAACTTAAAAAGGTTAAACGAAAACTAGAAATATTACCGTCACAACTATAACTGATTTTTTAAAGTTTCATGGAAATTACATGGAAATATTACATTTAAATGATTCAAATATTAAATACTAAAATTACTAAATAATATTACTTGAACAGAAATTAAAGCTAATTTACAAAAAAAAAAGACAAAAGCACCTAAAACTACTAAAACAAAAAATTAAAACCTGAAAATATAAAAACAAAAATATTAGATGAAAAATTCAAACTTAAAAAGGTTAAAAGGAAACTAGAAAAGTTACATTCACAACTAACTGGAAAAAGGAAATTACATGAAATTATTACATTTAAATCATTAAAATATTGCATAATAAAATTACCAAATACTAATTAAAGATACAGTTTTATATTTTAAAACTAAATGAATTGACAAAAGCACAAAAATGACTAAAACTAAAATTAAAAACTGAAAATATACAAATAAAAGCTCATTTAAAACATTAATACTATAAAGGAATATAAATAATTCTTAAATAACCCTGAGCAGAGCATATTGAAGAGATTTATTTACTAGCCCAAGTGAAAAGAACCAGCCCCTAAAAACTCTATATAATCCAGATATGGTTTGGATGCATTTTTCACTTGTCTTATGGTGGAAATCATAAAGATGTTTGCTTAAAAACAGAACAGCACATCTCTTCTCATCAAGATTCGAGGTATAATTCATTTCTACAACACAAAAGTGCTAGTTTAATACTTAAAGTTACCGTTTTGTTTAAAGCACTAACCCTAATTACTGTATAAGCAATAGCAATTAGTAACTGTCAGTCTTCTGTGACGAGACGGAGCAGAAACTGCATTGGTTTGAGTGTGAAATCCCGTTCACAGCTCTAGGAGTAAAGCAACCTTGTTAGGATCTGATTTAGAGCGCCGCAGCAGTGCCAAGACACATCTGAATGAAAGAGCGAGAAAGTGTGAGACTTCACACAGCTTTAGAGTCCGTGAACGTCAATCACCTCGCCTGTGCTTTGCTTCACTTTTGGCCAAAAATAAGAAGCGCTATGTAAGCGCCCCAGCAGAGATGGCCCTGGGGCCACGAGCGCCACAGGAGCCGCGGATGGGAGGAGAATGCAGATCTACAGCGTCACACGGAGCCATGCTTCTCCAGTGAGGCTGTCATTGCACACGTTTCATATGAAATCACTTCTTTTCAGGTCACCCCAAAGTGTTTACCAAGACAACAACATGGAAAGAAGAAAACTTTGTTAAATGTATTACTGAAACACCACATATTGTGTTAATGTGTATATGTGACCTGATATCAGATTCCCAAAAAATTTAGCATTTATTGAAATGATCTGTGAACTTTTATAGGATTTGGAAAACCCACAATCACATATTTTGAGAAGAAAAATAATTAATATAACTAAAAGGTTTGGAAAGACTAACTGAAGCATACTCACCTGTGTTATGTTTGATTTTATAAAATCATAATATTATATGTACAGACCACAAATGCATCTGCAATTATGACTGTAATTTCTATTTTATTTTGTTTATTCATTTATTATTTTTTATTATTATTTATTCATTTATTTATTTTTTATATTGATATGTTCATTTGTAAATGTGTGCATTATTCTAAAGTTTATCTACTTTCTTATTTTGTATGTTATTATTATTATTACTACTACTGTTGGTGTTGTTGGTGATATTTATTATTATTTTATGTCTATTTTAATTTATTTATTTAATTTTATTAATGTTGGAGAATTTTTTTTTTTTTTACAATTTTGCAATAGTGTGAAACTTTTTGTTAACGCTTTGGAAATATTACAAAATTTAAAAAAAATGACAAAGAGTTTTTACTACATAAAACTACATTTTTACTTCATAAAACAGTAAAAACTAATACTAAAATAGTAATATTTTTAAAAATATTATCAAATGAAAATATTACTGTTTTCAAAACACAGTTATGCTGCTTAATTTTGGTGTACTTATTTATTTATTTATTTATTTTCACTTTTGAATTGAATGCACCTTTTCTTGATTAAAAGTAAGTAAATAAGTATGTATGCATGTATTTATTTTTATTTATTTATTTATTTCACCCCAAACTTTTGAACGATATTGTACATAATTGAAATAAATAATAGAAATAATTAAAATGCTATCAAATTGTGACCTTCACAAATTGTCTGAACATCTTGACAGACAAACGGTTAGACAGGACAGTTTTTGTTTCTTCCCATCAATGCAAAAAAAATAAATAAATCCAGACACACTTTAATTTGGAACAATTTCCGTATAGCGAGACGTGTTTAAAATATCCCCAATACCTGCAGTGAGAGAAGAATAACATGCTCTAACTGTAAATATTACTCTGTAGGAGTGGAATGCATTCATTCTGGGTTGGCACTGGGCTGGCATGAGCTGGCAGTGACGTTATATTTGGTTTTGGAGTCAAGTGGCATTGAATAGCAGTGTTATGATGGCGGCAGTGATGCAGTAGAGACCGCACACAAACACGGCTGTCAACAAAAGAGTGGGAGGCAAATGATTTGGCAGCTCTGAGCAATACTGTGGTCAAAATAACTGGGGTATAATAAATAAATAAAGTAATATAGAAGAATTGTGCATGATCCAAAAATATATTACGACAAAAAATGGTTATAGCTGAAAACAATATTGTTCCCCTCAGCTGAACTTGAGATTTCTATTAAAAAAAAAATATATATATATATATATTCTTGCTTGCCAGACTTGAGTTCTGTCAAGGATCTAAAGATGATGTGGCATCAAAAATCATAGAAACAAGCACCAGCCAATAAAACTAAATGAATCTATTTAATTCCAAATCCAATAAAATAAAATCTGACTGTGACATGCGACGAAAATTTAGCATAAAACCAAGCTGTCAAAATCAACATCTGCAGGGTAATTCTACAAAACGAGTCCCATTTGTGTCTTCCTTATGAAGTACATATGTAAAAATGATTTTTAACAATGATTAACTGATGTTAGCTTTCACAGTGTCAACAGACATTTTGATAAACTTATCAACAAAAATACAATAACTTTATTTGACTTTTTATGTATTTTTTTCTAAAACGTTTCCAACTTAATGCTATATTAGCAAACATGCAAATGTAAGAAATATAAGAAAATATAAGGAAATAAAAGCTATAATATAATATAATATAATATAATATAATAAAAAAATCTTCAAGGAAAGGTCTCCTCTTTTTATTTTTTCATGTGAAAATCATACATTTTCAGCCCTGTTCAACACTTTTGCAGTTGTTGGATATTTGTATGCATTTTCATATTATATTCTCTTTCTAAATGTCCTTTCACCTTTCTGAAGGTAACTCAACATTTTATGCAATTTTATGGCACAATGCAATTAACACTTACATGCATTATTTATCTCCTAAAATGTCTAAAATCTCAAACTGACTTCAAAATCACTTTGTCTGAAAAAGCTGAAAAAGCACCCGTTTCGTAGCATGACCCTACAGTCATGTCAAAAGTGACCTCTGAAAGTTAAAGCACTTCAATATTTCACGATTCCCCTCAGGACTGCTGGGTTTTCAAGCCAAGGCCGCGAGAAGAGGCCTGAACAATGTTTGCACAGCCATGTCTCTTTCAGGTCCCATAGCGCAGGCCAGAAAGAGGGGCAGACAATGTTTGGCGACTGTCTGGGCGGAGGCTATGTTAAGGCCGTGAGCTGGACAAAGCTGAGTTACTAAGTCAATGTTTTCAATGACGGTATTTAACAGTCAACAGTATAGAGCCGACGATTAGACCACAATGCGACCCTGGAGAGCAAGTGAAAGAAGCACAGCCAGAATATCTGACCCCAACAGACCGCATAACGTGAGATCTGGGGTGCTCTGGAGGTGAATATTTGAGTGGGTTGGTGATTAACAGGCTTTTGGAATATGCGGTTGCTCAATCAAGATCAGTCACGGCTGGACTCAGAGGTACACAGGGAGTCTTGTTTTCTATAAAGAGAGAAAAAATGGCTTTTCGGTGTTAAAGTTGAACTCTGATCGTTTCCAACATCATGTTCGTTGGACTAAAAGAACTGCAGTTGATAATAACCGAAAAAAAGAGTAAAGTCATGTGAATTCCAGAAGATCTGTAATCAGACACTGTACTGGTGTGTTAGAGTAAAAACGCCTATGCCGTTAGTTATATTTTGAGCCACATAATGCAGGCACAAAATGACAAATTTAAAGGAATAGTTAATCTAAAATTGATCATTTTATTTCAGTAGAGCACAAAAGGTGATATTTTGTCCTTAAACAAAAGAGAGATGCATGAATATAGAAATTCAGGATGATATTTTTGACTAAAACTAAAACTGTTAAAAAAATTATTTTTATTAATTAAAAAAAGCTCAAATAAAATATTTGGTGAATTCAGGTAAATTTGACTTTTTTGCCATTGTGAGAACTGGGAGAAAATGGTCCAACTGTCCTGAATTAACCCCTACATTTTAGATGAAAAACTTAAATGAAAGCTGGAAATGTTGCCTTGGCAGCTAACTGAAATAAAAATAAATTAAACCTGAAGTACTGAAATTACTAAAAATGGAAATAAATTATTTATTAAGACTAATAAATAAATAAATAAATATATTTTAATTAAACAAATTACAAATGAACTACTTTCATTTACTAAAACTTAAATAAAAAAACAGACAATAAAAAAATGGTAAATATACAATATATAATAAATATAAATGTATAATAGTTATGCCTAAATGGCCAACATTACAAATGTATACTACTTAATATATTGGGAGTTACAATAAAACATTTTACAAACAATGGCTGATTCCAGTAATTTAAACATTAAAAGTTCAAGGGTCATGGATTCAATTCCCAGTGTAAGTCTCTTTGGATAAAAGCATCTGCTAAATGCATAAATGCAAATGTACATATAAACCGAAAAAATGTCAGCACAGTATGTTGTGCATCCCTATTCATTAACAATCATTTTGTATTCTATTTTTAAAAAAAAAACAGTTTGGGAGTGACATGTTGAGTAAGCAAACAATGACAGAATTTATGTTTTCAATTAACTATTTTTTAAACTTGCCATTTAAATGATTTTAAAGAAGCTGATGACCAAAACGCCCACAAATTGTAACCTAAGAAAAAGAAAGGAAGATAAACTGCAACACCGTATGGCACCCCAACCCCTTCATCTACATCTGGTTGTCTTTACCTGTCGCTGTTCTGAAGCGGAGCTCCATCTTTGCTCCAGGAGAGGTTTGGAGATGGCAATCCCTGAGTGGGACACATCAGCGTGAGGCTGTGGGTAGCATTGGTTATGTAAGCGGTCCTGCCCACATGGATCCGGAGATCCCTCTGGAAGCTCATGGCAGATCTGTGATGCTTTTGTCGAACGATAACCGCTCGACTGCCTTTTTTCGGCGTCTTTCCCTCAGAACGTTCAGAAGTGTTTGGCGTCTTATCTAAATGATTGCCCATCGTAGTGCTTTCCTCAGTTTGTGCCCCTTGCCCCGCGGCAGCCAAATCCTCCATAAGTTTCCCAATCAGGTGCAACGCCATTTCATCCGTCACATTTCCGCTCTCGGCCAGCTGACTGATGTTCTTCACGAGCTCCTCGAACTGTGCAGGATCAAGGACAAAGGCTCCCGCGTGGCTCCTGGCGGCCAAAGCGTAGTTTCCTAAAGCAAGGGTATCCCAGAGTTCCTTAGGCTGGCCATCGTCGTCTCGGTAGAACTCGTTTTTTTGCATCCAGCTTGGGGGAGATTTTGGAGCCTTCTTTCCAGGTGGAAACGCCTCATGGCACTTTGAACCAACGTAACCTCCTTCTTTATTGAGGTATGGATGAAAGCTCCTACTTCCCAAACTCTTTCCTTCAGGATGTTCCAGGAGCCTACTATTGTATCCGATCAGTTTCAGGATGAAGATGTCCGAAACTTGGTTGGCCCAGCAGCGGTACAGTCCGATATCTGCAGCCTCCAGGTTATAGATCCTCAAAGCGCCAGATCTGGTGATGCTCAGACGTTTGGAGCTGGTCAGTTCACTCCCATCCTTCTCCCAGCGGATCTGAGCTTTAGGGAAATGCCAAACGGGACACTTGATAACGACGGAGGTCTTGGGAAGAAGGTAGGCTCGTCCTCCGATGGTAAAACTGAGGCGTTTTTCTTGTCTGGTCTGGATGTAGATGCGTTTCAGGCCCATGACCTGAGGGCAATGTTTTTTGGAGTGCTTGTGCTCTGCGGAGAGAGATGGGAGAAGCTGAAGCGGTTCAAACATCGGTTAGGGCTAATTACTTTAGTTTCACGTGAGGTTATAAACGCTCTAGAAACCCCCAAATAATCTCAGCAGTTCAGACTCTTGATTTCGAGCCCAATGAAGTCAAATCACACGGGACAAAAGGGCTTTGGAAAGTTTAGGTGAAAGAGCAAAAACCATGAGGGCACAATGTGAATGCGTTCTCCGCTTGCAGACTGATCTGCTATGGGACCGTCCCTTCATACCGCAGGACCTTATCAAGATATACAAACCGATAAACCTAATTCAGCTCGAAACATTATCAAGGCATCTCAAGAAAGCATGAAAGCATCTCAAAGCCGTTCTGGAAGTTTCATATGTTCACATATATGACCACAGAGAGTTCATTGGTTCATGGGTATCATGAGAATAATAATAACATGCTAAGTGATACCTACAGAACCCTGCTTTTTATTTGAGAAACTTGAGATGAAACCCAAGTAGGATTGTGCTGTTACTACAGCTCAAAACATCAGGGAGTCCCAAAATCATTTTATGAAATTTTTCCTTGTGCTGCTATCAGAATGTATGGAGACCATAGTGAGAGCAAGATCAAATAGAGGTCAGTTCTAAGTTAAATTACAACCATAATTTACACGAAATGTGCAAGAAATCGAACGCTTCACACTGAAAGATTCAGGCTTAAACTGACGTGGCAAGTAAAGGATGGCTAGAAAAAAAATGGAAAGGCAAGCATAGAGTATCTTACTGTTGCATGGGCTCATACGGCAGCTCCTGATCAGAGGAGGAAGAGGAAGGTCACTGCAGGCTGACCTGTCCAGAGTGACCAGCTGACCGGAGGCCGTCTGTCTCCTACACACGGGTTCCCGCCGCTGAATGCCTTTTCCACACGTCACAGAACACTGCAAACACATATGGACAAATACATACATTAAATAAACTCTATTAAAGAAAATAGTTCACACAAAATGGAAAATATAAAGGCCCATTTACACCAATGGCCATAATTACAATGATAACTATATCTGTGTTCACACCAGTGCACAATAAGTTTCTGTTTATTATAAGTGTGTGCTGCAGTTTTGTCATCTGCCACTTTAAATGCTTGAGCTCGTTAAAATTTGGTTTATTCTGATTGGCTGTTAATGTTTTTATCATTCATCAGCTGGAGAAAATGATTCTGAAAGTGACTGAACAAGCCTTAACATCTTCAAAATTTTTGAATAGGCCTACCTAAAACCTACTTTTGTGTTTCTTGCAAGAAAGAAACAGAAAGATCTGGTTGGAACAATATTAACTTTAGAAATATATTTACCTTTCTACCTAAATTTTTGAGTGACGAGGTACAATAAAAAAAAAAAAAAATGTTTTTGAAAGAAGTCTCATATGCTCACCAAAGTTGGAATTATTTGATTAAAAATAAATAAAAGCTAGTTATGAAATATTATTGCAATTTAAAATATATGTTGTAAAATGTAATTTATTCCTGCAAATTTTTTCAATATTTATTCCAGCAGAATTTTCAGCATCATTACTCCAATCTTCAGTCTTTTAATGCACCCTTGTTCAACAGAAGTATTCATTTCACACACACACACACATATATATATATATATATAACCAACCCCAGACTTTTGAACGATAGTTTATATAATTGTAATAATGCATATAAATAATTAAAATGCTTCCCAGTTGTGCCAAAAAATTAATAAATAGTAAATAAATACAATACTGACCCCAAACTTTTGAAAGTGTATATAATTGAAATAATACATATAAATAATTCAAATGCTTCCCAATTGTACAAAAAATACTAATAAATAAATAACTACAATAATGACCCCAAACTTTTGAAAGATAGTGTCCAGTATATAATTGAAATAATACACATAATTTACACAAAAATTGTACCATAAATAAATAAATAAAATACTGACCCCAAACTTTTGAATGGTAGTGTAATTTCTACAGACTAAAGGCTAGAATACATTACACAACTTTTAAAATCTGTCTTTGTAAATAGTTACAGTGGGAAAACTGGGCAACATACACTAAATGACTGACTAAGACACATGAAAAATGCAAACAATATGTGTTTTAAAATCGGCTCAAAACATCAAACATGTCTGATATCCTCCAACTGGATGGAATCATAGTCTCAAGCTAAAAAAAAATCAGAGTCTGTGACCATCATACACTATGTGATTGTCTATGAAATTTGTCAACTCAAATCTGCAGACTGGCTCTGATTTTCAGCAACTAGCGTCATCTTCTCCAGACTGCAAATCGTTGCAAAAATATGGGCAAAAATTGTGTAGTGTATTCCAACCTTAACCCACTCTTGTGCAGAAATATTATTTATAAAGTATCTGTCTCTTCAAGGGTGTCCCCAAATAGGTTGTGGGGACATTTTATACGGAACATATTCCCAAAGTTTAGCTTGGTTAGCAACACAAACACACCTTTGACCACTCTCCTCCTTCCAGACGCGGCAGCAGACAGTCAGGGTTGATGCAAATCCTGTGGACGTCAGGTTTGGTTCCAGCGCACTCCTCGTCGCTCAGCCTGCGGTAGCTTCCAGAAGCCAGTCTCTGTTTACAGTAAACCTTACGCCACTGAGTGCCTCTGCCACACGAATGAGAGCACTGACCCAGAGACCAAACAAACACCAACATCAACACCAACAAACCAACCCTCACCACATAACCAGAGAGAGCGCAGCATGCAAGCAAATGCAACCACACGACACTTGATGTGCAGATGTTGTTTATCCAGATAAATAAAAGCCAAGTGAAGATTCAAGATCAGCTATAAAAATAATTCCACATCATGTTCCATAACAAAATATTCTCAAAAACACATGCTCAATGAGAATAACATGTCCTTTAATATGTTTATGTGAATCTCTGGTGCCTTCTGCAGTTTTTATTAAAGGGGTCATATGATGCTTTTTTAAAGATCATTATTTTGTGTATTTGGTGTAACAGAATATGTTGACATGCTTTAATGTTCAAAAAACACATTATTTTTCAAATACTTGTATGCAAAAGTCTCTCCTTGCTGTCTAGGAAAAATCATTGAGATTTTAAAGTGGTTTCTTTGTCATTTTCATCTAACAAAAATAGATGAATCCCGCACACTGCTATAGCTTGCAAATCATATTTTAATTAGGGCTGCATACATATTGAAATAAAATCGATATTGCAATATGGCTTAATGAACTTAATACATGCTATAGATAGATAGATAGATAGTTTTCAACATTGATAACAATAATGAATATTTATTGTGCGCCAAATTAGCATATTATAATTATTTCTGAAGGATCATGAAAATTCAGCTTTGCATCACAGGAATAAATTACATTTAAAAGTCGTTTTAACTTGTAATAATATTTTACAATATATTTTTTAATTTATTTATTTTTTACTGTACATTTTTTTGGTGAGCATAAGAGATTTAAAGAAACAGATTGAGATAGATAGATAGATAGATAGATAGATAGATAGATAGATTAGTGAAAAACAGGGGGAATGTGGCCTATGAAAACTCAAATAGAAAGACATTTTGTTCAGTCTTAAAAGGATTCCGAAATAAATACATAAATAAATAATAGGCAACGATTACATTTTTAAAATTGCGATTAATTGTGTGATTTTCTGCGATTAATCACATTGTTTTGCACAAAATTCAAAAGTAGTGTATTGTGCACTTTTTTCATTTAAAAGTACTGCTATATGAACAAAAGTGCAATAACATTTGGTTTGCAAACACTTTAAACAAATAAGGCGCTTTTTTTACAGCAGTATTAGCAGTTAAAATATTTATTGTAAATCTCAACTTATAACATTAATGTAATCAAATTAAATATAAAACCAAAGCTATTTGCCACTGCCAGGGCATTAACGTTTTTATAGAAAATATTTTATAGTTTGTTATAGAAAAACAAGTTATGCTCAGAGTCCAGAGCCTCGATCATAACATTATAACAGGCACCTTCCATGTAGAGACCTGCACTATCGCGGGACCCAACGCAGCAGAGTGCG